AAAAAAAAAAAAACAACCCCGCAGAGCGGGAAAAAAAAACCCCCACCCCAAACATTAAGCCGGATCCTCGTCTTCCATCTCGGTCTTCTTCCGTGTCTCCTCAATGAGCTGCTCCTCCTCGGCAGCCTCATCTCCCCATCCCCAAGCATCCGCTACGTCCTCGTCACCGTCATCCGCCGGTTTGGCAGCTGCCTTCTTCTCCACCTCTTTTGGCTCTTCTTTTGGTGGCTCATCATCCCCAATACCCCAAGCATTACCCCATCCTTCTCCATCGTCATCAACAGCTGCGGCCCCATTGGCCGCTATTTGTTGACCTTCTGACTTTGACACCATCTGCTTCTCGATCTTTTCTACCCGGGTCGGTTCACCAAAGCCTTTCGACAGCTTTGCGCGGACCGCATCCAATGCGGCTTCCCTGCACTTGGAGAGCCATACCCTCGGGGCACTTTCCGTCCACTCTTGTAAATCTCCCAGATTTGTGAATCCCAGTTTCCGTAGTGTCGCACAGAAGCTTTTGGCGAGAGCGATGACTTGTTGAAACCTCGCCATGTCGTTCAAAGACGATGGGACGGCCGAATCAAGCCATACACTGGTTACTCGGTGTATTACCCCTGGAAGAAGGGTGGGGGAAATGGTCTCGACCAAGTCACCGGGTAATCTTTCAACAAGGAACCTAAAAACCTTTTCGAGATCGGTGAATAAAGACTCGACAGATTTATCTGTCGTACCTTTTACTTCCAGAGTGTTCTGCTTGATGTTAGACAAGATCTATCTCCTGGAAATGGATCACTTACATCTTGTATTTGAATGCCCGGCAAGGTCTCTCTCTCCATATCCATTCTGGGAACGAGGACAGCCGCATTAAGGCTGGCCCAGAGCTGAGCCGTACGCCTGTCAAGCTCCTTGTAGGCTTGCAGACCTATCACCGCATCCGAGAGACTCATAGGTTCATCATCCCGGCCGCTGCTCATAGAGACCGTATGCTTCTCAACATCAACATTGATAAGCGTGTTCCACACATGGTCGAAAACCTCATGAACATCGGATTTGAGTTCAAAAGCTCTGATATCCAGCAATTTGATTGCCCGACAGGATTTGTTGACTGGTATGGCATCAAGTTCCTTCCATGATCGTTCGAGTAGGTGTAGCGCATCCAATATCCTCCGCTCATCTCTTGCTTTCTCAACTTCATCGAGTGTGCGGTTGACTGTCCTGATTCCTTTGAGAGCTTCCTGCACTTGGGCGTTGTAGTTGAGCTCCCGAACCAGAAACTCGGCCTTTGCCTCGGCATCGTGGGTATCCTTCCCTGAGACTGCCGGTGCTTCAGAAGTTTTGATGATTTCGTTTGCTAGCGCTTTTGACCGGATCATGTCGTCCTGGACAGATTGCGCATTGGTTTGCCATGCTCGTACATCGTCGGCGGTATCCTCGTTGATCGCATGAATTTCTGCCTGCTCGGGCACAAAGATATCGTTCTTAGCATCCCTATATTGTGCTCAGTTGGGTGGGAGAACCTCATACTTGGAGCTTAGCTCTGGCATCTGCGAGGGCCTTGATAGCTTCGGCCAGCGCATCGGGCTTGAGAGGCAGTGACGATACATTTTCTTCTGGAAAAGAGCCGCGTAAAGAAAATTCGACGAGTGCTTGTGCCAGTTGAGTCGCTGAAGGCTCTGGAGTATCGGTAGCCATGGTATGGAGGGGTTATTGCATCTGCTCTCGCTATTGCGCTGCAGTGGACGAAGATGCGCAGTACTGATGGTGACGTCGCCAGACAGTGGATGCCGCCTATCCCCGGGCTCCGCCTGATATGGAAATTTGGACTCGTTCTACAGAGTCCGAGCGGCTGAAAGATGTACAGTATTATATCGGGGAATTCGTCAAGAGATTTGGCGTGGAGTCATCTGTACTTCGTAGTTGCTATGTTGTAAACCCCACGTTGGGAGCGGCCTTTGGGACCAAGTTGTCATTGAAGCTCATCACCAATTGGAAGCTGACGTTCACAAGCTCCGAAGGCCCCTGTGTATTGCCAAGCCTCTGCGGGAAGTGCAGCCACAGATGGTGGGACACCAGCCGCTCAGCTGACTGCCAGTTGGTCCCCGCCAAGCTCTTGAGCTCCACTCGAACTTTTGCCCTGAAAACTTCAACCACACAAAACTCCAAAACTTCTCCGATTTCCCTTTCCTCTCCGCTCAACGTCACGACGACATTCACGCCATCAACCAGCACAATGGCCGCTACCAAGGAGACTCCCCGCTCTGGCATTGCCACCGTAAGTCTACGCGCTCATCAGTTTCGCATTCGCAGGACAATTCGAGACTCGTGGTTGTCGCAGTTCGCAATCTCAAATTTTCCCGCGATGTCGAAAATAGTGTCAAAAATCAACATGCTAACGTTTTGCTTCACAGGGTCTCAACAAGGGCCACGTAAGATAAAGCCTCTTCTGTCTCACCTCGTGGAGGATCTCCGCGCTGCTTCCTCCTGGAACATGGAGATGTCGAAGCATAACAGCGGATGATGGACACCTGGCTAATCGATACCGTTTTTCACTGAACACAGAAGACCACCGCCCGCGTCGCCAAGCCCCGCGTTAGCCGCACCAAGGGTCACCTTAGCAAGCGCACTGCCTTCGTCCGTGACCTTGTCAAGGAGGTTGCTGGGTATGTTCTTTTTCTCGTATGGTTCTGGTGGACTTGAAGGGTGGTCGCTAACTGCAAACACAGTCTCGCTCCCTATGAGCGCCGCATCATTGAATTGCTCCGCAACTCCAAGGACAAGCGTGCCCGTAAGCTCGCCAAGAAGAAGGTAGGAACCCTGATAGTCTATTTACAAGCTGTTCTCGGTTGCTGACATTCTCTTCCCAGCTCGGTACTTTCGGCCGTGCCAAGGCGAAGGTCGAGGACATGAACCGTGTCATCGCTGAGTCTCGCCGCGCTGGTCACTAAGCGTAGCGTCGTCTTGATGACGATGAAAAGGGTGGAAATGTGGAGGGATATCACGATGGATTCTCGGAGTATACCCTGCTGCTGAGAGGATATAAAACCCCAGTAGTCCCTCCGGACGGGCTTTAGATATTGAGACCAGAATCGACCTCACACTTACCCTTGGTGGAACCAAAAATTGATATCTTCTGCTATGTGACATGATATGACTGATTCAAGAGCCATTGTTTGCCCGCTGAAAATGTGATTTAAGGATTGAGATAGTGCCGGTCATTCCGCGGACAGAACATGTAGTGGTACCGGTGAAGTCCGTCTCGTAATACTATTATAGGCTGATTGCTAACTCTGGAACAAAGCCGGTGATTCATGCTCATTGCACCGGACATTTGTGTCATTTTGTGATCTTGAATTGAAGGGAACATGAGCATGTGTACGAAGTGAGGCACACCAGCCACATCCAGAACGCCACAATTTGATCTCCGTGCTTTTTTGTCAGCGAAAGTGGCTGGAGTCCAGTTGTTCCATCCAGAAGGGTCCTTGAACTCCACATGACAGCACCCACATCCATGTGCAGCGGCGCGCGTTGGAGACTGTTCGAGACTCGAAGTTGGAGGCCAAGGACGGGCACTCGACGACAATCGATGCGCACGACAGCGCGCCGCCAGCCGGAATCAAAGGTGAAGAAAGGGTGATATAGACTCTTTGGGGACCGGCCAATGCGATGACATATCGAGACACGATGCCGCCAGGGCAGGCATACGGTGGTGGACATCAACCGCAGCATCCTCAATTCCACCCTCAGCAACACGCATATGGGCAACACCAGGCGCAACAGCATCAGCAACGACCTCAGTTACCGCAACCACAGGGACAACCACATCCGCGTCTGCCACCCGTGTCGCAGACTACCTATCCCCCATATGCAAATGGATACCAAAATGGGAACCAGCAGCAGTACCAACACAATCAATATGTCCATCCCGCATACCCTCAGCAGCAGCACCCACAATCGCAACCACAGCTGCAACCGCAGCAACTTCTGCTCCCGCACCCGCAACCACCGGCACAACAACACCACCAGCACCAACCACAACCGCCGGTGCAGCCGACTGCCCAATACTATCCGGCTTCGAGTGCGCCACAGCCGCAGCCCTATGTAAACTACAGTAATGGGACCTATACTCAACCTTCACCATCACAACCACCGCAACCACCGATACCCACCCCCTCGGCCGCTCCCGTACAATTTGTCAACCCGTCCTACCTTCAGCAATCACCTGCCACACCGAGACCTACGAGTCATGTACCACCGGCATTGCAGCCTCCCGTGAGAACGATGAGTCCTCAAATATCACAGCTTCCTCCGATTGCGAGACCCCCGCAGCGAACACCGTTTGCCGAAGATAGCCCAAAGCTCAATGAGCGACCACCACCTTCTCGAGCGGCGCCTTCACTGAAAATACCAAAAGACCAAAGTCGACCTAGTGTTGGAGCAGGAGTTGCAAAGTCGCCAGCCACGCCCAGTTCCTCGGCACATACCGAAACGCTCCCCCTTTTAATATCTGTAGCCGAGGACTGTTTCGAGAAGGCAAACACGGCGTCTCAAAGAGTCGCCAAATCCATGTCTGAGGCGGAAGTAGCGGACCACCACAAATTAGTGGCGACTGGCTTGGGGTGTCTGGATGTTGCTCTCAAGTCGAACAAGTTGTGGCCTCGACTGGAAGCGAGGCTGTGTTTGCGATATGCCAGCGTATTGATTGATGAAACGACCAACATCATGGAGGCAGAAACGACCCTGACGAGAGGGATAGCTGTTTGCGACAAGGTAAGTTTATGTTGCCTACCGTTGCATGGAACCAGACGCTGACAGGTACTACCAGAACCGATTTCTTGATCTCAAATACTGCTCTCAGTTTCTCCTCATGAAGACGCTCTTTCAACGAAATCCCAAAGCTGCTTTCAAGCTCATTGAGGGGCACATTTCGGATTGCGGGACTTACAAACATGTTCACTGGATCTATGCTTTCCGGTTCCTCAAGGCGTCGTTCCATCTCCAGGCCGGATCTCCAGCCGAACACGGCGCGATTGACAATCTACGAAAAATTGCCGGGGTTGCCAACCAGCGCAAAGATTTTTCGATTTTTGCCATGGCCATGCTGTTAGAAGGGTTCGCCCACATGACCACCATGAAGGATGACTGGGCCAACCGGGTGCAGTTGTGTGTTGCCCAGGTGTCCAAGATACAGTTGGAGTCGTCTATTCAGATACCACAGATCGATATACTGTTGCGACTGCTTGATTTGGCCTGCAGTCTTCACCAGAAATCACATCAGGTTGCGGCACAAAAGTTGACTGTTCTTCAAAGACAGCTGGAAGAGCTCAAGAACTCGCCGGACTGGCCGCTTCAGAATGGGGAGGTGTTGTTGTCTATCAACCGGATGTCGAATACGGCGCCGACGGTTAGTAACGATACGAGGGCGGTGGTGCGGCAGGGAGAGGGGAATGCAGACTATCTGGTCTTGTCGACATTGGGGAAGCAGGAGGCTTGGGCTATAGCGTAAGATTTCCTGCCATTCTTGCAGTCGCTCCAACTAGACTGACAACCATCACAGCTGGGTCTTCAACGGCATCGTCGCCCACTACAGAGCCACCACCCCCGGCCGGAGCGCAACCTTGTGGAACGAAGGCCTCCGCGTCCTTGACGACACCAAAGTCTCCACCGCTCCTCAGCCCCTTCCAGAAGCCCTCAGGCAACACGACTGGGCCAGAGAACTAACCTGCTACACCCACATTCTCATTGGGCTTCAGGCAGCCACAGTCACCGACTGGGCCAGAGTAAAGCAGAGCCTTGATGCCATCCACGAGCAACCCCACACGTCCCCCTTGCCGGGCAGTTCGGTCGATATCTTAACCCTCTACCTCGAAGGCTGCCAGCAGCAGGGCATGGCCAACATGGACGAAGCGCTCGCCATCTGGAAGAACCCCCGTTTTGAGCTTGATCCCACGGGGGCGTACAAGAATGGCTCCCGGCTCGAGACAGAATTGTGTATCCTTGCCGCGCTGAACAGGGTGTACATTATGCAAGAACCCAACCACCGCGACAGCGCCGAGACGGCCGAGTTGATTGACCTCCTCCGCCCCATCTGCGAGGACGATCCCGATCTTGAAATCAGAACGGCCTGGAATCTGGTGTTGGCGTCGAGCACATTTGAACCGGAGCTGTCGCTCAATCAAGCGAAACGGCACATCCAGGGGGGGCTTTCGGGAGCGCAGCAGCTGAACAATACGCAGTATTTGAGCATGGCATTGAATATTATGAGGTGTAAGCTGTTTGAGAATGTGGTGGGGGAGCAAGCGCTGAAAAGTGCCAAGGCGGGGGCGACGCAAGCGAGGAAGAGCGGGAATTTGTTGTGGATGATTGTGGCGGAGGGGATGCTGGGGGCAAATTTTGAAATTGAGGGGGGGGTGGGGGAAGCCGTAATGGCCAACCCCCCAACAAGAAAACAAAAAAAACCCCCCATATGTTCTTGTCCCTCCCATCAATGGTCTTGACAGCCCCCCTGTCGGAGTCAAAAAATGAAAAATTTGGCTCCGGCAAGAAAAG